TGGACTGTGGATTAGACAGTCCAAGATTCGAGTCGCAATTTCCCTCTGAACACGCTCAAAGACTTTCATCTGTGGAGATAGAATAACTATGACAGTCGATCCAACTTCTCACTTAAGAGTAGCCACATATTATGCGACAGGCGCTGCTGACTGATTTCAAAATACCAAATACCAAAAGAAAGAGTTGCAATAATAAGTTTTTGCCTTTTTTCAATGCATTTGTTTCAGTTAGGATCTGCACTTAATATGTGAATGGACATAAAAACTTAATTACTTAAATCTAGATTAAAATTAAAAATTAAGCTTTGCTTCTAATGTACTGACAGTATCGTAGGTATATCTCAACAAATTAAACTCCTTCTATATTACATCTAATCCTAAGTTACTGAAATATATAAATATTTCGTACCATTTATAAATTATAATTTAACAGGAATTGTTCACCACAATATTTTGTACTGGAAACAGTTTAATAACACCAACAACGAAAAACACAAAGTCTATTACTTATACTAGCTGAAATACATAGCTAGCCTTTATAAGACAGTAAATGTCCCAACTCTTCTCATTTTGTATAAGAAATCAAAACCTAAACTACTTAAAGACCCAGAAAGTGCTGTTTGTTATTACTCTTAATTTAAGTCAATGATTGTTTTTTTACGCTTTAACAACTAATAACACAACTAGTTTTTAAAACTTTGAATGGTACTTGACTCACTTTCTTTACCATAACAAGTAAGTATGGTACTTGACTCACTTTATTTACCATAACAAGTAATTATGATATTTGACTCACTTTCTTTACCATAACAAGTAAGTATGGTACTTGACTCACTTTATTTACCATAACAAGTAAGTATGGTACTTGACTCACTTTCTTTATCATAACAAGTAAGTATGGTACTTGGCTCACTTTATTTATCATAACAAGTAAGTATGGTACGTGACTCACTTTCTTTACCATAACAAGTAAGTATGGTACTTGACTCACTTTATTTACCATAACAAGTAAGTATGGTATTTGACTCACTTTCTTTACCATAACAAGTAAGTATGGTATTTGACTCACTTTCTTTTCTATAACAAGTAAGTATGAGACCTGATTTGTTTTCTTTATTACACAAGTATGGTGCCTGATTCCCTTTCTTTTCTATAACAAGTACATATAGAGCCTGTCTCCCTTTTTCTATTTTTTGGAACACATACGTGTGAAACCTGATTTACTTTAATTTTCTCTAGCAAGTAGATATGGACCCCGGTTTTCGTTATCTTGTTTTTTGGAACACATACGTGTGAAACCTGATTTACTTTAATTTCCTCTAGCAAGTAGATATGGACCCCGGTTTTCGTTATCTTGTTTTTCCCTAAAAGTAGATATAAATCCTGAATTCCATTGTTTCAGCCTATAGTAAGTTCGTATTGAACACGACATTCAATCTTTTTTGTCTGTAACAGGTAGATAGTTTATCTGCCCCCTCCCCCATTCTTTCCTAGTACGAATAAATAGTAAACCTGTTTTCCATTATTTTCTATAACAGATAGGTGTGAAACCTGACCTCTGTCATTTTTCTTTGGTAAGTAGGTACGGGTCACCAATGGATAATGTAGCCAGAAGAAAAAATGCTACAAGAGAGACAACCAACACACTAAAAGCATGGCTCTACGAACACAGAAAGAATCCGTATCCAACCAAAGGAGAAAAGATTATGTTGGCTATTATCACGAAGATGACATTGACACAAGTTTCCACGTGGTTTGCTAATGCTCGCAGACGGCTGAAGAAAGAAAACAAAATGACTTGGGAACCTAAAAATAAACCGAATGATGCAGAAGAAATTGAAGAAGTGAATGACAATTCCGTCTCAACAGACGAAACTTTTTGCAAGGATGTCAAAACTAAAGAACTTAGAGAAAAATCAGAGGATAACAGTAGTGGTAATATGTGTTTCTTCTTCTTCTAAGATTAACGTTTATATTCATATTATTTCTTTGAAGTTAAGCGTGTTTTATAGTGTTATTTCTTTGGACTTAAGCGAATATTATAGTGTTATTTCTTTAAGACTTGCGTGTGCTAGTATCAGTCCTTTACGTTTCATATGTCTATTAGAGTTAGCCTTTGAATACCCATGCGAGTATTAGTATTATTTCTTTGCGCGTTATCTACATATTAGTATAATCCAGGCTTTACTCGAAACTACTAACATCATTTACAGTAACGTTTGTTATACCACACCTTGGTCAAAATATTATATTTGCCATCAATATTGTATTAATATTTTAGCTGTAAAACTTCTTTGAGTTGACTATTTCAAACTTTCTGAGAACAGGGGTACCGAAACCAAAACCTTATATCATTTGAATAAGATACTGAGGGACAATCAGCGACTTGAGTTTTAACCTATTCAAAAGTTGTGTACCCATTTTTCCAAAGCTGACAGTTAGACACTTGCTGTGGAAACATTTCTAAACTTAGAAAATAATAATCTTCAAGAAGTTTATTCGGGGAAGTAGAAAATTTTAACCCTCTGGCTAAGACTATTTTATCATCATCAGGCAAATTATGGCTTAATAAATTGTGAATAATATCATCTGGGGGTTCCAAGAACGTGTAACAAGTCTATGTTTTTAATAATCATTGACTTTACGTAAGTGTTTAGCTTTAATCTCACATAGAACTTCATTACTGCAGTTGATAATTTTAATCTTCAAATATCCTAGGTCTTTTCTTAAGTAGAGGACCGTAAGTAATAGCATTGGTTGACAACTACATATGTATCTGAAAGTTGACAATACATCGAGAGGCTCCTATCCTAAACCTCGTCAACAAGTGTTTGAGAGTATATAGTTTAGCAGCGAGTTCAAGCAACCATCAACAAGTGTTTGAGAGTATAAGGCTTAACAGCGGGCTTAAGAGATTATCAACAAGTGTTTGAGAGTATATAGCTTAGCAGTGAATTCAAGCAATCATCAACAAGTGTTTGACAGTGGATAGCTTAGCAGCGAGTTTAAAAAACCTTCAACAAGGGTTTGAGAGTATAGAGCTTATCAGAGAACTTAAGCAACCATCAACAAGTGTTTGAAAGTGCATAGCTAAGCAGTGAGCTTATGCAAGCATTTTGTGTTTACACATCGCATAAATTCGGAAGTGAAGTCCAGGAATGTCGTCATTTTCCATTTTTATCCTCAATTTGAGAAAATAACAAACGTGAATGGTGAGACGAGCATGGGGAAGGTGGAGTAATCTCCTGAGACAAGTTATAATAAGATAGTCGTATTCCTTGAGTTCCGGTATTTCTAGTGATAATAAGATAGTCGTATTCCTTGAGGTTCGGTATTTCTAGTGAGAATCAGATAGTCGTATTCCTTGAGTTCCGGTATTTCTAGTGATAATCAGATAGTCGTATTCCTTGAGGTTCGGTAGTTCTAGTGAGAATCAGATAGTCGTATTCCTTGAGGTTCGGTATTTCTAGTGAGAATCAAATAGTCGTATTCCTTGAGGTTCGGTGGTTCTAGTGAGAATCAGATAGTCGTATTCCTTGAGTTCCGGTATTTCTAGTGATAATCAGATAGTCGTATTCCTTGAGGTTCGGTAGTTCTAGTGAGAATCAGATAGTCGTATTCCTTGAGGTTCAGTATTTCTAGTGAGAATCAGATAGTCGTATTCCTTGAGGTTCGGTGGTTCTAGTGAGAATCAGATAGTCGTATTCTTTGATGTTCGGTATTTGTAGTGATAATAAGATAGTCGTATTCCTTGATGTTCGGTATTTCTAGTGATAATAAGATAGTCGTATTCCTTGAGAATGTTTTTTTTTCGAGTCCCCAGGGATGGTTCACTCTCAACAATAGAGACACAGAGAAAGGAGTATGTCCCGTCATAACTATATATCATTGTGATTGCGCGTACATAAATTCTGCACAGAAATGACAGGAGAGTAAAGTGAAAGGAAGCCTGCTGAAGTGTTTGAATAAATTAAGAATTTTATCAGAGCTTCTCGCTCTCAACCACTTAACATTTGCCTATGAACTGGTCAGTGATTTCACAAATACGCAGTAGAAATGCAAGATATTTCCTTCAACCTTGTGTATTTCAAAGTACGAACTAAAGGGATCTATAGGGAAAGTCACGAGCGAAACAATTTTCTCTTCAGAGACTTATTGTACAGCTGTTGATATAATCTATAATCGTCCTAGATGAGGCTTACTTAATACTGACTAAATCTACATGAGGTAGGTTTGGATGACTATGACAAGCTCATTTCATTTAACAATACCCTCTGAATTTTAAGAACTATTTTACCTTAGCATATTCCAATACTATAAGTCGCATTGAAATGTAAGCTGAAAGTTGATGAGTACTGAGATAAAATTATAAGTTGCATATACAAGCTCTGTTGTTTGTATCGGTTATGTTTCTATCTAATATAAAATATTCTATGAAAGCTTATGAGTACCGAGATAGAATTATAAGGCACACATGCGAGCTCTGTTGATAATATCAGTGACGTTTCTATCTGTTATAGTTGATCAAGCGTCTACACCACCACTTTCATTGGACAACGAGCTTGAAGAGAGAAAAACAAAGGATAAAGTTGGAGAAGAAAATTACAACTCAACTTTCCGAGAAATCTTGGATCACTCTTCGCCCCAGAATCTGTCCTCAGAGAACAAGCAGTTTACGCTGCCCTCAGCCAGTAGAACGTACCACCAGCATATACCTTCCCCTGGATCAACGGCCTGTCAAAATACGACTAGCCCTGGTTCCCCCGATTCACGGCCAAAGATCTGGTCACTAGCTCATACTGCCACCTCGGACAGTCCCCCTACTCTAAAACGTCCTCCTCAGTACATGCTAGACAATCTTCAGACCCTGAAATATCCTCATCACTTAATGTTAGACAGCCCCCCGATTATGAAATGCCCTTCTCAATTAAGCTCGGAGAGTACTACGCCTTTGAAAAGTCCAAATCAAACGATGCCTACAACAATAACCCCGTTAGAAAAATCCACAACATTAGAACCATGTAACCCTCTAACCCCAGAAATAAAAGAACGCTGCTACAGGCTTGATATGACAGAAGGATTCGTTACTAACAATGGATTAGTTTCCATTTACGCTGACCACTGGCATCCTAGTCCTGATTCAAGGACATCAAGCCCCACCAAGGCTGACCCCACTTTAAACTTTGAAGCTACTCATGTGATAAATACACCAGGGGAGGTGGTCCTCCCATGTTCCTCGGCAAGACAGCCGAGTTTCTCTCTCTCCTCAGCTTTCAGAGAAAACGGTGTGATGAGGAGCAAGTTTCCTGAGAATCCTGTTTCCTTACCGTCTAGTGATTCCTGTGAATACAGACTACCACAAGAAAACACGCTGAACACGAAAGGCTCAAGGCTATACTTAAGCCATTTCAAAGAAGTAATGTGCCCTGCAACGGTCGACGTTAGACACCAAGCAACGGAATCTCAAATATTTGAAGAGGAAAACTTCGAAAAATCTTCTAGTGATAGCACTGAAGGTGAGTTATTATCACTCCAAATGAAGCAAAGAAATTTGGGTACAATGCAGTGAGAGGGGCAAAGAGAATATGGCCAATCGTTCGGCAGAATAACTTCTTTAAATTGAGATTGTTTAGCCTAAACGTTGATCATATTTCTTCTTCTTTCTTGCGCCTTGTTTTTAAACTTTTGTTACAAAGTTATTAAAAAAACTGTACCATAACAAGTAAGTATGGTACTTGACTCACTTTATTTACTATAACAAGTAATTACAAGTCTGTCACTGTGACTCACAACGTCTTGATATTTAGCGTTCCTAGTACAAGTCTGTCAGTGTAGCACACGATGTCTGGAATTTTAACGTTCCTCAATACAAGTCTGTCACTGTAAATCACAATGTCCAGATAATTAGCGTTTCTATTACAATTCTGCCACTGTAACTCACAATGTCTGGATAATTAACGTTTCTATTACAAGTCTGGCAGTGTAACTCGCGATGTCTGGATTTTAATGTTCTTAGCACAAGTCTGTCACAGTAGCTCATGAACTATATATATAAATATGGTTGGAGACGGCTTAAATGGGTAATGAAGAAAAACTTTAATATAAGTTTAACATAACAGCAAATGTACAACCAACCATTATTAGTCTCAAAGTGGGTTCCTCGTCATCGAATTTATATATAAATATATTTTTATTTACAAGTTTTAACTGCAATATAGACCTGTTACTCCGTATACAAAAATATATAACTTACTTAACAAGTTCTAGCTGCAGTATTTATGTATCCCTGTAGCTTATGTTCCATAAGTCTTTAATTTTCTTAATTTATTCTTCATTTACTCTAAAACTTTATACCAGTCAGATCGGTACAGGACTGCATAACCCGTATTCTTATGTGTGAAATAGTTTGTAGAAATTGTGAGTAATGAAACCCCATTGTCAGCAAAATGTATAGAAATAAGGATGCAGCTAATCCACTAAAGGATAGTTATTTGTAGAATTTTCGCGCAGATTTACTGGAGAGCTATCTGCGCTATCCGTCCCTAATATTGAAGTGCTAGACTAGAGGGAAGTCATCTAGTCAACACCCTCCCCCTCCATTTCTTGGGTTACTCTTTTATCATCAAAAAATGGGATTGACCGTCACATAATAACGCCCTCTCAGTTTGCTAGTCGAATATCCTAACCATTAGACCATACCAGGCTCTGAGAGGATAGAAACCCCATAATCAGTAAATTTGATAGAAAAAGGGTTACACAATGAGACAGAAGTTGTGATTCGTTAGAATTAATATGTTGTGCTCCTTGTAAAAATATAAATATATAGTTAATTATTTATTAAAAGAGCTCTTGAGTTTATTAGCACTGTTAATGAGCGTTTGGAGGACATATGGTAAACTCCACCTAAACTAGAACGAAAAACTAATTTCTTCGAACAGAGGAAGGTACTCATCATATTATTATGATGTTATTATAAGACCGTTATCTAACACTGCCAATATTACATCAGTACTGTTAACCTTTAATAAGCATCCACCTACAGCGGCCTTGTAATATTAACTGGTGCGGTTTATCAGTAATATAAAAAAATGTAGTTCGAAAATAATGTCAACCACGATCTTTAAAATTAGGAGACTAATCAGAGGCGTCGCTAGGTGCTTAAAAGATTCGGAGCTCGGGCCCATAGACGTGAGGATCTTAGAGCCCATAGATGTGGGGATTTTCGGCGTTTCAATATAATATCGATCATGGTTTTCTATTTTGATTTTTCAAGACACCAAATGGGGATTAGAGGCACTGGCAAATAGAATCGGGGCATGGGCCCCGTGTGCCTAGTGACGCCTCTGATACTAATATAGATTAAATATTCTCGCCGTCTACAAGAAGTTTCTAGAACTATAATAAATGTCCATCATTCTTACATTTCCAGAAATTTTCTAATCTAACAACTAGCTTTTACTAGCTCTAGATCTCACCTGCCAAAAGTTGTATAAGTACAGGAAGCATGTTTATGTATTTATTCCTCAGAAACCATTTATAAGACTGACAGTAAGGAACCTCATCCATTAATAGATTAAATAACTCGGGGTAGATAAAGATCATATTAACTCATGCAATCTTTGATGCAAATAGAAGCCTTTAGAATTGAAGCATTGTCAAGAATAATTTAAAAAGCGTAACGAACATGTATTTCACACCTTCAGAAAATGTTTTTGTACTTTAGAAGAAAACCGCGTTCAGGAACAATTAATAATTAGCGGCAAGAATGTATAGCACAAAGCACTGATCTTATTTTTACGGAAATATTCTTAAATTCAGCAGTGGTGACAAATTTCTTTTTTAATTGTGAGTTCAACCTGGGACTTCTTACACGACATGCGAGATATTAACCAATTAAGACAGCAAGTTTAAACAACTCAAACTCCCACAATCCGTTTCACAAATAAGACTTGTCCTCCGTCTTGATATCAGGGTCATAGGATGACCACTAAAAGCCACACCAGATATGACCTCTTTTTTTTTTCCTTTTCGGGAACCCGCATTAACTCATTTGAGCATATTTTTTGTTTTGTTTTATTACATAAAAAATTAAAGTTATTTATATATTTAGGATTTTTATTAAGAACTTTATGCTTCACGTTTTATATGTGTTAAAATATTGAATATAAAGAAATTTGTAATGAAAATACAATTCAGAAATCTTATGACCCAACTGGTTTCTTTGTCCACACTGTACTCCTTAAGTAAATATTGACCGTAAACCGTAGTACTCGTGTGAGCATGTTTTAAACATTACAATCAAAGAACACCCAATAACCCGAGTGTCTTCTAAATATATAGACTTTTTTCATAATCTTTGAAAAGAATATTAATTTTTGATTGTGTGTGTGTGTTTCTCAAATATGACTTTTGTTAATACTATGAAAATCGCTTTTGCTTTGAACGTTTAGTTTTTAACATTCGAGTAGAACTAATATTTAGTCGCACATGTCCAGACGAAACTGAAACTTTGTTGCCCAATTCTGGATGTAACTGACATTTATTCTTACATTTTTGAATAGAAATAATATTTAGTCTTCTACGTTTGGTCTATATAGGCAACAGCGGAAGACCTAAAAGATAGATGTCCACCTTGGGGTGCCCTCACTCAAGGTCCAGCTTGTTATACTTACGATCCTACCTTTGCAGCATATGGTCCCTACAATGACAGGTAAGGTTTTAATCTTTATTATTCAAGTCTATATTTACAAATACATATACATTTACCAGGTTTCTAGATAAAGACTTTATAGTCATCAATTTTGTATGTCTCGAAACGTTTCCGTCTTCCCCTGATTTTATCGGTTTCGATTCCTGGCAGTCTTAATTGGCAGATGGATGGCGTAGGAAGTTCGATAACGATTACGAGATTTCCCACTTTAAGTTTTTACTGCCTGCAATCAGTCGGTTATCCATTTTAGTCATCTACAATACAGTCCAGAATGTCGCGGGCAGAGTTAGTTTTAAGGAAGAGAAGTTACTTTACATACGGGAAGCCTTAGACTGCTCATGTATATCAACTTGTGGAAAGCTGTAACAGCACGCCCTGTGAACATTCATATAATCCATTTTTCCTGAAGTCGGACTCAAAAACTGACAGTAACTTTTATTACCCATCGTACGTAAGGTTGAAGTCTGTGTTTTCAAATCTTATTAAAAATGACGAATCTGTTGCAATGTTTTTTCAATTAAATTACTTTTTGTTTATGAAATAACATGTTTCTAATATGTCGCTACTTCCCTATTCTTTTATACATCTTGAACAATTTTAATCAGTCTTGAGAAAATCATACTTAAATATTCCATAAAGTATGCTACTATATGAATGACAATAATTTACTTTAATAAATGGATACAGATTTTGATTCTTTACTGTAACAAGTATGGTACCTGACTCACGATCTTTATTATAACAAGTATGATAATTGACTCACTTTCTTTATCATAACAAGTAAGTATGCTATCTGACTCACTTTCTTTACTATAACAAGTATGATAATTGACTCACTTTCTTTATCATAACAAGTAAGTATGCTATCTGACTCGCTTTCTTTAAAAAACGTTAAAGATCGAGGCATTATGAATAAAAGTGACAGAGTTGTACTAAGGAGATCCAGACATCGTGAGTTAC